ATATACAAAATACCATGCAAGGAATGTGAGAAACACTACACAGGCCAGATCGAAAGAAAACGAACAATATGGATTCACCAACTAGCCACTAAGAGACATGACCAATTCTCACTTGTCTAATTACACAGGGACAATGAGGGACACAAATTCAACTGGGACAACACATCCATAATTGCACAAACCAAACAGAGACACGCCAGGGAATTCCTGGAGGCCTGGTATTCCAACCGGAACTCCATCAACAAACACATTGAATTAGACCCGGTGTACAAACCACTGAGAAACAGAACCAGAAATAATACCAACCACCCCAGCAAACCAAGACATGTAAATAACCTGTGGGACAGAACACCGATGTTTCACCAAAGGTGCACGGACATGTCACCTAGCAGGGTGACAAAACATTTGCAACCAAACCCACCGGCTCAACGAGCATGTCTACAACCTCATCCACAACCTGAGCTACAAATCTTCTCAAAAACCTTAAACACCTGTGGGCGCAACACCCTCAAACTGGCCCGCAGATGGGAAACAAATGCAATCCAACTGAGCGCAACCCACGAACAACTATACTTACTGCACAAATGCCTCAGAAAGCAGGTACTACCACAAAGCTTAAAATATAAACCACCTATCAACAATCCACAGGCACGGAGGACAGCTGAACAGAAGGGCCACAGAATGATAAGGGTTACGATCAATGATGCCACAATCACCTCCACAAATACAAGCGGGAAATTGCGCACTAAAAAACTCTGTACTCCAATGCAACCGACCAGGAATGGATATCCACACTGGAACAAGTCATCAGCATACAACAACAAAAGACCAGAACACAGAAAAGAATAGCCCTTCAAGAAAAACGGTCCAAAACCACCCACATCAACAACACGGACAACACAGATTCATGGATTAAAAACATCTCGGACCGACCACTTACAGACACTGAGAAGACCATCCTAGTACGTGGGCTGAATTATAACTACAGAGACGCCAAAAAGACTGACTTCCGGGCTGCGATGGAATCGACACTAAAGACTTACAGAAGAACAGAACAGACCATCAGACAGATGATAGTCCCAACACTGAGCAAAGAAGGAAAGTGGTACACATTCACACCGAAGACAGGAGAGCCCTGGAAAGACTCAAGAAAGACAGGAACATTGTAATCTTACCAACGGACAAAGGATGCATGACAGCAATCTTCAATAGAACCCAATACATCGAGAAAGCTAATGCACTACTAACAGATACCGACATCTACCAACAGATGGCGATAGACCCGACACCACAGTTAGGGAACCGGATTACAACGACCCTGAAGAAATTACACAACTCGGGAGACATCAGCAAGACAGACTATCAGAAAATGAAGCCAGAGGGATCCAATACACCCCCATTCTACAGTCTCCCCAAGGTACACAAACCGGGGGTCCCCCTCAGACCTATTTCTCACAACCAGACACACCAACATATAGACTTGCCAAAGAACTACAAAAGAAGTTGAAATACTTAGTTGACAACACTACCCACTCCAATCACTCATCCCAAGAATTCCTCAACATCATCAATGACGCTAGGATAGAAGAGGACGAGATGATGATAATATCCTTCGACGTAATAGCACTATTTACATCCATAAACACTGACCTAGCCAAAGAAATTATTGCCACACTGCTGGACGAATCAAGTAGGCATGCAACCCAGGACGCCAATAACATCAATAAAGACACCACCATGAATCTACTAGATCTGTGCCTCGCAACCCACTTCACCTTCAACAGCAGCATATACAAACAAATCAACAGTACACTAACAGGATCCCCATTATCAGGACTGATTGCAGAAGCAGTAATGCAGAGGTTAGAACGGACAGCGCTCCCCACTATATAACCCAAGCTTTGGGTCCAATATGTAGAGGATACCTTTGTGATTATTAAATGCGCAAAACTGGAAGAAACCCACCGACGCATAAACAACATCCTTACTGGGATAAAATATATGAAAGAAGAGGAGAACAACAACTGACTAGCCTTCCTGGACGTAATGGTAGAACGCAAAAACAACGAGGAACTCCAGACTAGCGTATACAGAAAGACCACACATACTGACCAGATATTCAATTACACTAGCAACCACCCCATGCCCACAAACAGAGCTGCATCAGGACACTACTACAACGATCCACAACATACTGCAGCAACCCAGAACTGCGCAAAACAGAACAGGAGCACCTATATGGAGTCTTCAAAAAGAATGGATATCCGAAAAGCACAATCCGCTGTTACCTCCAAGACAGACCACAACAGGAAGACACAACATGACCAGACTCACTAATCACCCTACCATACAGCAAGGACATTTCAGAGATGACCACCAGACTACTCAGACCCCTAGGTATCAGAGTAGCCCACAAACCTACAACCACCCTATGACAGTTACCGACGAACGTAAAGGATCCCATATCCAAAACCAGCAAAACCAGTGTAATGTACAAAATACCACGCAAGGGCTGTGAGAAACGCTACATAGACCAAACCGGAAGAAAACTGACAACACGAATGCATGAACACCGACTAGCCACCAAGAGATGCGATCAATTCTCACTTGTCTCACTACACACAGACAATGAGGGACATGAATTCAACTGGAACAACACATCCATAATCGCACAAGCCAAACAGAGACACGCCAGGGAATTCCTGGAGTCCTGGTATTCCAAGCAGAACTCCATCATCAAACACATTGAATTAGACCCTGTGTACAAACTACTGAGAAACAAAATCGAAGTAATACCAAACACCCCAGTAAACCAAGGCATATAAATAACAAGTGGGACAGAACACCAACGCCTCACCGGAGGCACACTGACGATGTTACCTCGCAGGGTAACGAAACATTTGCAACCAAATCCACTGGCTTGGCGAGCATGTCTACAACCTCATCCACAACCCGAGCTACAAATCTTCTTGAAAACATTTGAATGAGAAGTAAAAAGTATGCCACTCAACTCCTCAAATTTGTTCCATTTATAATATCGTAGATCCACTTTGTTAAGCTGTTACCCCATCATTTATCAAGAACCTCTCTACCTCTGTTTTAAAAATATTCAAAAACTGCTTTCAACACATTTTGAAGAGGACAGTTCCAAGTACACGCAAGCCTTTGTGTGCAAAAAATTCTGCTGCCCTGTCTCTTCATTGGATGACCCTGTATTTTTAAACAATGTCCCATTGTTCTAGATTCTCCCACAACAGAAAGCATCTGTGGAGAGAGAAACAGAGTTAGCATTTCAGAAGAATCCTAACAGATTCTAAACGTTAAGAGTCACATCAGACTCCAAGCTTTAATTGTTTCTGACTCCACAGATGCTGCCAGACCTGCTGAATTTCACCAGTACTTTGTTTTTATTTCAGACTTCCAGCGTCAGCTTTCATTATAATCTCAGGATCTAACAACCAAGTTGCTTTTTACAGGGTCAACAAGGTGCAGGGCTGGATGAACACAGCAGGCCAAGCAGCATCATAGGAGCAGAGAGGCTGACGTTTCGGGCCTAGACCCTTCATCAGAAAAGGGCGAGGGGAAGGGGGTTCTGAAATAAATAGGGAGAGAGTGGGAGGCGGATAGAAGATGGATAGAGGAGAGGATAGGTGGAGAGGAAACAAACAGGTCGAAGAGGTGGAGATGGGGCCAGCAAAGGTGAGTGTAGGTGGGGAGTTAGGAAGGGGATAGGTCAGTCCAGGGAGGACAGACAGGTCAAGGGGGCGGGATGAGGTTAGTCGGTAGGAGATGGAGGT